CGCTGAATTGGTGTGTCAAAATGTTGTTACTTTAAAAAATCTTTACAGGTTATGAAGCTATTGCCTACTGGGAGGAAAAATATTATGTATCTTGCATTCTATGGATCTGTGGTAAGTATGTTTTACCACCGCATTTGCCTCTGTTTTTCCAAGCAATTAGTTAGATAGAAAGTGCTTACTTTGAAATTACTCTTGCAGGTTGGGGCTGGATCATTCATTCTACATCAATTCTCAATGATGGTGAATATGATTCTTGTCAGTTTCGGGCTGAGCGAGGACATGTATAATCCAGTAAGTCATTTTCCCTACTTCTCCAGAAATCTACGAAGCTTTATTTCTAGGTTTATATATCATAGTTCCTCTCTTTTACAAATGGATTTCAATTAATGTCGTTTCGAAATTGATACATTGTGGGACTGTTGCGTGTTGCAAGCTAGTTAAATGTGTTTGTAGCATAATCATAACAATTGCTACTTGATTTCCACCAGGTTGCAATTCTCGTGCTTGTGGGAATAGTCATTACCGGAGCTGCTTTCGGATTCTGGACGGTGAGGAAGTTTGTTATTTCGGAAGATGGAGGTGTGGATACCAGTGTTGCCCAATTTGTGAAATGGGCGATGCGTTCTGTTGCCGCCACATTTATCTTTCAGGTAAAAAAATGCATGATTTTATTGCGTATGTTCTGGTAATTTAAGTGTTAGCCTCCCTTATATTTCAGAGCACTCTGGATACCCCTTTGGTGATGGGAGCTTTTGCTTCAGCTAGCTTGCTCGGTTTTCTTTTCAGCAAAATGATACACAATAGGTATATATTCACCTAGCTTCTCTTTTTGGATCAGTTTTTTTCCAGGGTTTGAAAATTTTCAAGTTGCAAGTAGCTCTATTTAATAACGTACTTATTGTGACACTATTGATTTTGAGTGGTTGTCTTTTATGGTTGAACCCAGCTATTGCATAGTTTCTGATTGAGCTTTTACGTAACGATGTTGCGCACTTACACAGGAAAAGCGTTGTAGTTCAAAGTCATTGGCAGGGCTCTGCTGGTAAGGGACGTCCAATGCATGGACGAGCCGAATTCTTTAGCCGCCCTGGAGGTGGACTGTGGAACAGCCCTACGAGTGTACCTTCATCTTCCGGATCTCCTTCTTATGGTATTTACGCCTTGCAACTCTTCTATGCACTCAATACTTTCTTTATTTTCTCAAAGATCAGAGACATATCATCATCATCTTCTGTTATAACCATATGCAGGTGTGAAACATGTGACGTCCCCGTCGTCAGTTTACCGGAGAAGACCGATTGCAAAGCAGGATTACTATTCTACATACCACAGGACGCCAAACCGGAAGAAGCTCTCAAAGGAAGAGTATGAAGAGTTGACTATAGAAACGACGAGGGAAGCAATGGCAGGACTTGCAGCTTCCCCAGGATTCAGCGATTGGTTAATCGAGCATTCTGACAGAATCAAGTTGCTTCCTCCCACTGAAAGTTATGATGACGAATTTGGTAGTGAATCAGATTCGACCGGTGAACAATCATCCTGGACTGGATTTTTCTGGTAGAGCGTAAACCGTCGAGTGGCATCAACTCTTATTACTTGCTACGATAGGTGCGTAGTCATTTAACATGGCATGGATCATCAAAGCCTCGTCAGGTTTTTTCAGCTTTCAGAGAGTTCAGGAGATAATTAGGAGAGTTAGAATTAATCCTTGTACAATAACAATTTTTCCAATTTATAGGAGCTTAAGAGTTAGAATTAATCCTTTTACAATCACAGAGCATAAAAGATGAGATTGTTTTCACTAAAAAATGGCATTGTAACATGAAATTGAAAAATCAGTATTAACCATTGGAAAATTGATTAATTGTAAGCAAATAACGTTGAACCCTTGTATATGAATAGTGTCAACGCCTGGATTCACGGGTCATGGCTCTTCGTATTCTAATAAAATCGTTATGAGACTTTCGCCTTCCCTCACTTGTTATTATTTCCAAGACACCTCGTTTACTTAATCAAACCCTTTTTTTTTTTGTCTCTCTAAACAAATTAAAACCCTAATCTTTGTTCCGAAGACTCCTCTATACATGCACTTTACTTTTTTAGATTGCACGTCTTTTTTAGATTGCACGATTGTGCAAAACTGGAGAGAGCAACCTCCTTCTTCTTATTCTCTTAAGCTTCATAACTTGTCACAACTCGAGAATTCGACTGCCTTCTCCGATCCTAAATACCAATCTCGACTTTTCTCCTCTGGTGGACATAACTGGTACGGATCTGTGTTTTCTTCTAATTAAGACCCGAGTCATGCATTTTTGATTTTTCCAAGTAATATATATTATCTTAGCTAATGCAACATGTTGTTCGTAAAAACAGGAGATTGGTCGTGTATCCAAAAGGGAACGAAAAGGACAATGGGAATGGATTTGTTTCCATGTACGTGGAAATAGACAGTAAAAGCTTGATGATATTCACACCACCAACTGAAGTTTTTCCGGAACTCCGTTTCTTTGTCTACAACAAGAAACAAAACAAGTACCTTATGATTCAAGGTAGGTCAACTACTTTTCTTTTTCTCTCTAAATACATATGCATATTTCAATCAGCAATAATATATTTTATATATGTTTAGATGTAGAAGTAAAGCGGTTCAATGCACTTAAAACGGTGTGGGGATTGCAGCAAGTTCTTGCATTTGATACATTTAAGAACCCTGAAAATGGTTACATCTTCGAAGGAGATCAATGTGAGTTTGGTGTTGATGTCATTGTTGCTTCACCCGTTACCAATTGGGAAATCCTCTCTTTCAATGAGAAACTCCCTGACCCCAAGTTCTCTTGGACTTTGAAGAATTTTTCTGAATTGAAAGAGAATGTTTACACATCAAACATTTTTTTCGATTGGAGGAAGGAAATGGTGAGTGTATATATGTTATAAGAGAACGACTAACAAATATGTATACATGTGTGTTTATGAATGTTAACAAGTTGATAATGATTAATGTTTTGTAGGGTTCTAAAGTTGTATCCAAAGGGCGATTCTAGAGCAGATGCCAAATGGTTATCAATTTTTCTGTATTTAGCTCCTAGTGAGACACCGAAAGCAGATGAGAAATTTTTCGTGCAAGGACCTGTGCGAGTTCTAAACCCACTTGGATCCAATCACTCGGCACGCCAATGTATTTTCTAAAGCACAATTACATTACTATTATTCTTAGTAACTATACTAAACAACAGTTGATGAGGTATTCATGTTTCCCATTTCATTTTTCTTGCAGTGAACGATTGGCACACCGAATCAAACTCAGGTTGGGGTTGGTCTAAATTTTTGTCTTTAGTTGAACTTCGGAAAGTTTATTTGGATAAAGAAGATGCGTTGAATCTTGAGGTCGAATTTGAAGTTGTTTCTGCAACCAAATACTCTACTATGATCTAAGCTCTTTTTTTTTGTTTTTTACCTTTAGAATATTAGTTATCTACCATTCTTCTACTATGCGTTTATGGCTACAATAGTACTATGTATGAGACAATGCTATGTATTAGACATTTTTTAATCATCACTCGAGTTATATACTTTCCATAATTTTGGTTTTATAAGAAGAGAGAAGCTTATTTGTTATAGCAGCTTATAACGAGATAAATTGGTGAGAATTTTGAAGAATTTTTCTTCCTTGAAAGAGAATGAGTACACATCAAAAAGTTTTCCAATGGGAGGAAGAAATTGGTGGGTGTATGTTGAAAGAGAGCATCAGTTTGTTTATTAGTGGACAATGCAAGAAATATGTATACATGTGTGTATGAATGTTGACAAACTTAATAATTAATGTTTTGTACGTATAGGGTTCTAAAGTTGTATCCAAATTAAGGGAGATTCTATAGCAGCAGATGGCAAATGGTGATCCATTTATCTGTATTTGGCTCATAGTTCCTCTCTTTTTCAAATTGATTTCAGTTAATGTCGTTTGGGAATTGATACATTCTGGGACTGTTGCCTGTTGCAAGCTAGTTAAATGTGTATGTAGCATAAGCATAACAATTGTTACTTGATTTCCACCAGGTTGCAATTCTCGTGCTTGTGGGAATAGTCATTACCGGAGCTGCTTTCGGATTCTGGACGGTGAGGAAGTTTGTTATTTCGGAAGATGGAGGTGTGGATACCAGTGTTGCCGCCACATTTATTTTGCTCGGTTTTCTTTTCAGCAAAATGATTCACAATAGGTATATGTTCACCTGGGCTTCTCTTTTTGGATCGTTTTTTCAAGTGTTGGAAATTCTTAAAGTTGCAAGTAGATCTATTAACTAACATACTTTTGCATCTAGCTAATAATGGTAAAAGAGAAATTATGCAAATTGGATAGTTTGTTATTGATAATGCAGCGTATTACGACACTATGTATTTTGATTTGTTCAACGTCTTTTATGGCTGAACCCAGCTATATTGCATAGTTTGTGTTCTAACTTTTACGTAACGGTGTTGCACACTTACACAGGAAAAGCGTTGTAGTTCAAAGTCACTGGTAAGGGACGTCCAATGCATGGACGAGCCGAATTCTTTAGCCGCCCTGGAGGTGGACTGTGGAACAGCCCTACGAGTGTACCTTCATCTTCCGGATCTCCTTCTAACGGTATTTGCACCTTGCAACTGTTCTATGCATGCACTCAATACTTACTTTATTTACTCAAACATCAGACATATCATCATCTTCTGTTATAACCACATGCAGGTGTGAAACATGTGATGTCACCGTCATCATTTTACCGGAGAAGGCCGATTGAGAAGCAGGATTACTATTCTACATACCATATATGAGAGAATATTGAATATTAGTTTATTATGTTTCGTTAACGAAAACAATTTACAAGTGTTGAATTATATACAACATCTATCTGTAACTTAACCAAACCGGATTCGGTCTATACAATTGAACCGGTTATCTATATATGTACATTGATACCATAGGACGCCAAACCGGAAGAAGTTGTCAAAGGAAGAGTATGAAG